TCTATTTGTGGCTCTTAATATGGATTAGGCTCTACACTCTATTTGTGACTCTTAATATGGATTAGGCTCTACACTCTATTTGTGGCTCTTAATATGGATTAGGCTCTACACTCTATTTGTGACTCTTAATATGGATTAGGCTCTACACTCTATTTGTGGCTCTTAATATGGATTAGGCTCTACACTCTATTTGTGACTCTTAATATGGATTAGACTCTACACTCTATTTGTGGCTCCTAATATGGATTAGGCTCTACACTCTATTTGTGGTTCTTAATGGAGGAATTATTATTGCACACCCAGTTGTGCCTTTTGAAACGGAAGCTGGTCATAAACTCTCTGGCTGTTTGCTCCAAACTACATACTTGTAGCCCTTAAAACCGGAATTGGTCATACACACCTTTTCCACGCTCCAGTTCTAGCAGTTAGAGGAGATATTAGTCCTAGACGTTACCTTACATCTGACATTGATTCCCCTCCACCTTAGTTCTGGCTCAAAATGGTGTAACGATTTGTATTGGAGTTATTGGTCCTCGCATCCTATTGGTATGTTGTCAATACACGCTATTGTATTCACACAGATATTATAGGTCTTAGACGTCCCAGTATTTACACATGCTTGTATGGATCTCGCACACTCTAAATATGATATCAAATCTGCACTCCATAGTTGCTTGCTTAAACTGCGACTCAAGGGTTCAAAAACATTGCAAATTTGGGGAACACATTTTGTGAGGAGGAAAAATCAATACCCACATTTATCAGGTAACTACAAAATCAACAGAGAATGACTATCATGCTAAAACAAGAACTCTCATTGTACAATACTAAAATGAAATAGAGAGAATGGCCAAGTAGTCAATGTACCCGAACTGTGATCCTAGGTTTCTAGTTCCTGTTCCATTGATGAAGAAAAAAATAATGTGCTCCGTTTTTGGAGGCCGTAGATGCGTAGTAATGATAAAATCAAACTATTCTATCAGGCAAGAGTATTCCAAAAATCTTCGTTGACTGGTGTTGACTAACAGCCTTACCTCTCGTCTACTAGTTCAGAGGTAGTAGCAGCTATGCGTTAAAACCTGAGAAGAACTGAAAATGTAGAACTACCAGACAGAAAAGGTAAGTGTTTTCCATAGAGAACAACCAGACAGGGAAGAGATTGAGGATATGAAGTACCTATCTTTAAACATATTAGTATTTAATATAAAAAATCATAAAGGGTTTTTTATTTTTTTCGACCCCTTTGGAGCTTCCACTATCCCTTGTGGGGTCGCTACCCACAGTTCAAGAATACCTGATCTATCTAGTTATTCTAGACTTGCAGTAGTAAAACGTAATGCTCGTATTAATTCAGCAGTTCCCAAAAATTAAATACAATGTAGTTCATGTTTTTCTTCTCATCTTACTAATTAAATGCAACACAGATCATGTTCGTGCACACCTCACTAACAAAACGCAGGGCGGATCATGTTCCTGTACATCTCATTTACTAAATACTGGGTGGATCATGTTTCTGCAAACCTCACTAACAAAACACAGGGCCGATCATGTTCCTGCACATCTCACGAACAAATTACAGGGCGGATCATGTTCCTGCACTCTCCACCAACAAAACACAAGGCGGATCATGTTCATCCACCACATTAACAAAGCAGAAAGTAGGTTATGTTCTTGTACATTAAACAAATGTAATGCAATGTAGGCCTTGTTTCTGCACATACAGGTTATAAAACTTAACGGTAGTATTGGTTATACACATCCCAGTTATAAAACGTAATAGTAGTTTTGGTTATACACATCCCAGTTGTAAAACGTAAAGGTATTAATGGTTATACACATCCAGTTATAAAACGGTAGTTTTGGTTATACACATCCCAGTTGTAAAACGTATCGGTAGTCTTGGTTATACACATCCAGTTATAAAACGTAACGGTAGTTTTGGTTACACGCATACCAGTTATAAAACGTAAAGGTAGTCTTGGTTATACACATCCCAGTTGTAAAACGTAAAGGTAGTCTTGGTTATACACATCCAGTTATAAAACGTAACGGTAGTTTTGGTTACACGCATACCAGTTATAAAACGTAAAGGTTGTATTGATTCTACACATATCATTACACGGTGTACCTGAGAATTGGTCCAACACATCTGTTTACGAGGCTTCGTGTAAGTTTGGAATTTCATGTCGCATATCTTCATGCAGTAATTAGTAAGTTACATTTTAGTATATGGTGAATTATTTGTTGTTGTTTTTTAAAACAAAAACGACAGAGAGCAGATTATTTTATGGTATATAACTGTTTGTCTTTCTTGCAGTTGAAGGAGTAAATTATTTACTTATAATAAAGAGAAATCGATTTGTTTTCTTGTAGTAAAATGAAATTAAGTTACAACTTACAGTTAGGCTGCATCAAATATGTTTCCTGTAAGAAACAGGAAGTTGTAAGCAACATAGAACTAAGCTGGGTCTGATTGGTTTCCTATAACCAAAATACAGTATGTTACAACTTAAAGTTAAGTTGATTCAGGTTGGTTTCCATAACCAAAATACAGTATGTTGCAAGTTAAGCTGGTTCGAATTAGTTTCATATAACTAACATAAAGTTGTATAGAACATGGTGTTAAGTTGTTTCAGATTGGCTTCCTTTAATTAAGAGGAAACAAAGGCCCGGCACGGCCAGGTGGCTGGTCTGATTGGTTTCCTATAACCAAAATACAGTATGTTACAACTTAAAGTTAAGTTCATTCAGGTTGGTTTCCCATAACCAAAATACAGTATGTTACAAATTAAAGTTAAGTTGATTCAGGTTGGTTTCCCATAACCAAAATACAGTATGTTGCAAGTTAAGCTGGTTCGAATTAGTTTCATATAACTAACATAAAGTTGTATAGAACATGGTTGTTTCAGATTGGCTTCCTTTAATTAAGAGGAAACAAAGGCCCGGTGGCTGGGTCACTCGACTCGCAATCTGCGAATCGCGGGTTCGAATCTCCGTCACACTGAAACATGCTCACCCAGTGTCCGAACTAGGACGCCAGTCTTACTCCCGGAACTCACCGGATACGAAACTACTAGAGGAAACAAAGTAACAAACTAATGAAATGTGGCCCAGTCTAATCTATTATAAACTAAAAGAAGTACGTTAACCTGGTATAAGACAATGTCGGTATGCTTTCCTATTTAAAGAAGGCACTAAATGTGAAATTTAAATAAACTAAGCTACATTCTTATAAGCATGAATAAATAAACATATATTTATATATATATTTAGGAACCTTTCATCCTCACATACCTACATTTAAACCCATGGAACAGAGCTATTCATCCCAACCGCCCTCGATTTTAGAATCAGTTACCAGCGTTGGATTGGACCGGGACATCTGTAGAATCTGTCACTGTGAAGGAGACTTGGAGTTCCCTCTTATTACTCCATGTCTCTGTGCAGGGAGTCTCCGCTACATCCACCAAGACTGTCTCCAACAGTGGATAAAGAGCTCCGACACTCGCTGCTGTGAACTGTGCAAGTTCGAGTTTATCATGCACACAAAATCTAAACCCTTTCGAAAGGTAACGATTCACGATACATGCATAGTCGATTATAAAACATCTAGAAAATACACATTCAAAATAAAATCATAGAATATAGTTTTTTGAGTGTCATTGTAGTTGAAATTATTGTGCTTATTTGAAGTTTTTATTTTATCGAATATGCAACTAATAAACATCCTGGTAGCGAGGTCTCAAAAATGATCACTTCAAATGTTAGCGATCCTCCAGTAATGAGTTTGTGTAAGGGGACTTACTAGGAATATCAAACCTGACTTCATTTAATGGTATCTGAAAACTTCAGTTACTGTCTTTCACATTAGTTCATAGAAATATATGTATTCATTTTGTTTCCTTTGACACTTATCTTTATATTGACATCTTTGTGTGCTTGTATAGGTATGAATTTAAATAAACAGCAACTAATTAATTACATCTAGTTTTCTCTTTATTTTTAGAATTATCAATCCAAGACTGGTATTATTTAAATGTAAAACGATGTGCAAATTTTGTAAAATTTATCAATGCTCATTTAACGAAGACAAGCCTATTTTATGAGTGAATATTGATATTACCATTGTAGATATTGTAGATATATTAATAAAACTGGTATTAATTAATTAATTATTACCATTAAATCCAGTGTAGATATTGTAGATATATTAATAAAACTGGTATTAATTAATTAATTGTTACCATTAAATCCAGTGTAGATATAGTGGATATATTAATAAAACTGCCATTAATTAATTAATTATCTACACTGGAGTTAATGGTAATAATTAATTAATTGATACCAGTTTTATTAATATATCTACAATATCTACACTGGATTTAATGGTAAATTGTAGATATATTAATAAAACTGCTATTAATTAATTAATTTTACCATTAACTCCAGTGTGAGCTTCTCTAATCTTATTTCACATCCATTCGACCTTATCTCCATATTAGGCACGTCAGAAGTTAAAATTAATATTTTTCTAAATTATATGTTAAAGTTATTTTAATTACTTGATTATTATTAAGTATTATTATGATTTCAACAGTGACTTTGATGAGTGAAATGCATTAAGTAAAATCTAGAACTGTTTTAATACGAAATAAAAAATAGTGAAATAAGAAAACCTAGCGAGAGTTATTTATGATATTTTCCTATTCCACTCTTGCACATTATTATTATTTAACCAGTTTCTGTTAATTGGATTTTCTGTTAATTCAAATTGGATTTTAAAGTAAACACATGTTGAAATATAGCACTAGTGAGCATTCTTTTGTCTGCCACGAAGAACATGTTCAACATCAGAGCTAACCGAATAGAACATCAACTAAAACTATTCATTGAAAATTGGTAATTATTCTTCAAAATATCATACTTAAAATATCTTGTTTTTTCTTATTATCTGATTTTTTTTAAATTTGTGACGTTTTTGCTTTAAGCCTACTTCAGGCAGTTAATAAGTTTAATCATCATGTTTCCCCTAACGAGCTCATAAGGTCAGCAAATCTTTTGTTATTGTATTCAATTACCATGGTGTTTAAGAGAAAATGTAACTTAAAGAATAGTTAAGTCAAGTTGTTATTGGTTTTACAAAACATATTATGGACTCCATCCACGGCTTACTATAAAAAAAAAAGAAGAGAAAAAATAATGCGAATTCAATAATTGTGTGATTATTTTCTTTCTAATGGTTCGTTGAAAGTAAATAATTATTACTTTCATTTCACTTTTTCAGTGGGAAAAGCTTGATATGTCCCCGGTTGAGCAGCGGAAGGTCCTATGTTCCATAACGTTTCATGTAGTTGCAGTCACGTGCGTTGTGTGGTCTTTGTACGTGCTCATTGATCGTACTGCAGAAGAGATGAGATCTGGAATACTAGATTGGCCGTTTTGGACAAAACTAATCGTTGTCACGATCAGTTTTACGGGAGGACTAGTCTTCATGTACGTCCAGTTTAAAATGTATGTTCAATTGTTTAATCGCTGGAGAAGTTTCAACCGTATCATTTATGTACAAAATGCCCCCGAGAAAGGAACACTCAGCACAGAGCTCCCCCTTAAGAATGAAGATGTAACGATCACTGTAGGTAAGGGAGTGTCCCCAACAGAAGAGTTCAACAGTTGTGCCTGTGGTAGCTTACATTCTTTAGATGTAAATGACTCAATTGATGCTCTACCAGATTCCGCCACTGTCCCTGGAAGTAACCTTTCAATATCTGAAGATGATTTTCTCCTAGCGACTGTTGTCAAAGAAATGTCACTAGGCAACGCTCGTGTTAAAGAATCAAAATGTTGAGCACCTCTGAGTTTCACTGTGTAGTAAACAAGACTCTATAAAGTTTCTGCAGCGCTTGGTTCATGACTCATTAACTAGTTTTCTTATTTTGATCTACGAAGCTTCAAAATATGCGTGTGTACAAACACTTACCAGTGCTTTAGAGAAAATCACGAAGTGCGTAGACCATGATAAATTGAGCTTATTTACCAGTGCACAGAAGCACTAGATTTTGTTTGGTTTTTTTTTTTGTTGTTGTTGTTGTTAAAAGCGAAATCAAAAACGTATTGCGTGGTCTGTTCACGGCGAGTTTTGTATTTATATTTTGATATTTCCAAAAGTAAGTAAATTATCATATGTAAATACTATATAGGGCAGGGCACGGTTTATTGGTTAGCGTGCCAGGCTGTGAATCCGAAGGTCCATGGTTCGCAAAAACGGCTCTACTCACTTTGTAGTCGTGAGTTCTTTATAAGAGAGGAGCTCAAATCTCAATTACAGTAGCTCAAAAGTTGGCGGTGGGGGCTGTTTACTAGTTACCTTCACTCTAGTTAATCAGTTCAAAATTAGGGACGTGTAGCGCAGATAACATTCACGTAGCTTTGCATGAACATCCGAACCAAAACAACAAAGAAGTAAGAAGCGCGCGTGATTAGTGCTGTATTTCTGATTATCTAGCTTGTCCCCCAGTGGCACAGCTGCATGTCTGCGGACAGCGCTAAAAACCGGGTTTCGATATTCGAGTTGGGCACAGCACAGATAACCCTTTGTGTAACTTTGTGCTTAACTTCAAATAAACAAATTACCCAGCTTATATTATCCTATTTTAAAAGATACAAAAAAAAAGAGGTATTTCAAGCCACTTTGGGAAAATACGTCGTATAACAATGTGCCACAACGAGTTTTCAGAATTATTTTGAAGCAAACTTTCGATTGTGGTCAACAATAATTTTCAAGCTGAACTGGATAATAACTTGAATGTTGACTGACTACTAGAATCTGATGTGTGAATGAGAAGCACAAAACACATATGCATCATTGAACCTTTTTTAACAAAACTAATATATCAAACTCGAAAATTATCCAATGGACCAGTTTTGTAAACACATTTTTTTAAATTATTTATATATAAAATTGTTGATGGGTCCATTACTTTTTGGTCCCAAATAACACACGAGCCACATACATAAAATGTAATCAAAAGCGTATCATCAATATTGCAACTAATCCTACTATTATAAGCGCCCCTACGTATTTTACCCAAATGTTTTTGTTATACTGATGTCGTAACGTTAATAGTTTGAGGGTTAAGAATAAAAATTAAATCACAAAGATTTTTAAACAAATTCAAAAGTGTTAATACAACATTAAAAACAAATCGAAAGTCAACGTTTATTCTAGAACTACAACAAACACAAAAGAGTCAGTTTGTGGTGGTTACAAATGTACACAACTTAAAACATCGACCAAATTTGATGACGAGGAACCCACTTTGAGACTAATAATGGCTGGAGACGGCTTGAATGGGTAATGAAGGAAAACTTTATTATAAGTTTAACATAACAGCAAATGTACAACGTTTCGACAAGGTTTTGTTATCAACCGGTGCAAAACCTTTTCGAAAAGCTTTTCAATTTCTTTTATTGTAAAATTATAATAAAGGTTTTCCTCATTTC